TTTTGCTTTTTTTTTTTTTTTTTTTTTTTTTCTTTTTAGGGATTGTTTTTATTTTCAATAAAGCCTAGTCTTCTTCGTTAACTTGATCATTGTGATTAAAAAAAAAAAAAAAGAGAGAATGAGAATGCATTCAGCTCAGGGCTTTAGCCAGCTCAGGTTTTCACTGTATAACTTTTTATTGCTATAATTAGGGCACACTATCTGGGCATGTTTAAAGTTCTAGCAGATCTAATTTTCCATTGCATGGCACTGAAAGTGATTTTACATCATTAAAATAACCAGACTAGTGGTCCTCAGAGAGAGTTTGAAAACATAAGCAGTGACCATGATGAATAATTTATGCATTCTTAAGACCTTTGAAACTGTGGAATTAAGGAAGTAAAGAGCATACAAACAGGCATACAATCATTTTCAAGCATTCACTTATATATTTTTCCATTTATATAAAAGTAAAGTTGCTAATTATTTTATAGTTAAAAAATCTTAACGCAGATTCACCTGTGTTATTTCTTTTGAATATTTCTTGCATAACACGTCTATTCCCATGAACAGCGACTGAATATCAGGATTTGTCTACCAAGAAAAGAAAGTATACCAAGGTTAGTTTTTAATTTGCAAGTTATATTAAATAAAGCATTTTGTGAAGTGTTCCTTAAATTGATGTATATAAATAAAAAATTGACAATTCAAGAGTAGGATGATGCAGAAATTGAAAACAAGCCCAGTTTTATTTCATGTCCTTATTAACCATCTGGAAGTCTTTGTTCTTTTGTTTAAATATATTAAAGACATACATACTATCTAACTAAGACAATAACAATTTCCAGCATAAGAAAAAAAGCACTAAAATGATAGTTAATTTCTCAATTATTTTATGACTGAGACTTTTAGTCAGAGAATGTGATGTGGCCTCACATCATTGTAATAAAGATATGTGAAAAAGAAATGCTACAAAATGTAAAGCGAATTTCAGAATGAGAGTGATATTTTGACATCTATCCAAATCTACAAAGCAATGTAGATAACTTAGTTAAGTGTTATTTTAATCCAGAATACATATATATTCCTTATTATTCATTAGAAAAACAAAATGCAACCCCCAAATAGCTATACAAGTTATAGCACTACGTTAAAATAGTTATATTACTAAGAACTAACAGTGATCACCCTTCAATAATCTTCTACTGTAACAGCAGACAGCTTTAAAAAATGAGGAATCTAGTCAAAAAACCCCATCTACTCGTAAACTGTAAACTGAAAGGTTCTTTCTGATATATTGTGACTGTATAATAGAAGGTAGGTTTACAACTAGACAAAAGTTGAATAAAAAAGTAAAACCAATCCCAACACACTTAGATGATAAAAGAAGATTGTTCCAGAAAAAAGACATTCATTATGTAAGGAACCACTGTTCAAAATCCAATCTAAAGAACTGAAACTGTTGCAGGCGAAATGTAAATTAATTCCAGAAGTACTAAAAGAATGTCAAAAAGTTTAAAAAATTGAAAACTTAACGAGAGGTGAATTATTGAAAGAAATAGGAAGTAAATATTTCAATAGTTAATAGGAATTTATATAATATAATTTATATAATAGGAAGTACCTGTGAATGAAGTAACAGACTACTAAGAAAATGAAAGTTAAGTGATATCACTTACATTAAAAATATTGCATTGAAATAAAAAAGAAGTAGGCTTTGCTCCATTTGGAAATGCACAACCATACAGAGAGACAATATTTTTACCTACTCCAAAAACAGTCTAGCACTAGTATAAAGTCAAATATCCAAGATCAAATAATAGCTGCATTTGCCAAACCTATTTTCAGTGTGTGCTTATATTCTGTATTTTTAATAATAAGAGGGAATTAAGTCTTATATGTACAAAAAATAATAATAATTCACAACCTGGATTTGCAGCAGATTTGTATATTTTGTTCCCCATATTCTGACATCAGCTGTTTTGGTGTCCTGTACAGTAATTCATCTAAGCAAGGATGGCAACTGTGCATGTGGCTGCCAAATTCCCTTCTGACTGTTGATGGGCTGTACTTGCATTTCTCTCACCAGGGGAACTAAACTGCTTTTCTATGCTTTCCCCACCTACTAATTTTTATAGAACTCACAGGAGGAAGGAGACTTCCTCTGCTCTTTTGAATTTAGTTGACATTAACCAAAGCATTCAAAAATTTCCACTGGGTGAACTGGCAGATTGAGAAAGAGAAAAGCAGATAGACAGCACAGTCTGACCTATCTATGGTATTTAAGTAAAGAAAATACAAACAAGACAACAAAATTTCATCTAGAAAAATGAACGTATTCATGAAAATACCTCTGGCATTTTTAAAATGTATTCATAGGAGGCAAGCTGTAGAAATCTATTCGGGGTCCTAAGAAAGTAATGACCTTGGTTTAAGAACATATCAGATTTGAGAAAAATAAAAACCAACCAGCTTCATTGCTAATTTTAAAACTCTTTAAAATAAACATTTGTAGAACACTTTATATTTTATCTGTTGCATGGAGGAGTAGCAGATGTTAACATGATATTCTGAAATAATGAATAGTGAGATTCTGATTTATCATTACACTTCCTCTGGGAAAAAGTAAGTGGGGATCATGAGACACAGAAGGAAGATATAAAGGTGACAAGCTTGCATTACTGTGAAGATGAGAATATTTAATGTGTAGATGCTGATTGCCCCAATATACAATTTAATGAGGAGTTTTAACACATTTATAGGACCTCTTACTCATTGAGAATTCTTCCATAGCATCAAGCTCATAAAAGTTACCAGGTATATTTCCACTCAGGTTCCTGAATTACAGAGCTATATGACTTTTTTATATGCGTCTTTAATTACCATTCCAATCATTTTATCTGTTCTTAATCAAGACTAAGCAATCATCGTTAATGTCTTTTTTAAAGGATATGGTAATTTGCTTCCTTCCAGTCCTCCACAGCAGTGGCAGGTTCTAATGAAACATCTAATATTTTTGTTGGTATCCCAATCATTGCATTTTTAAATTCCTGCAGTATTTTTGAAGCAAATTGTCAAGTTCTGTTGAGATGCTGCAATTTAAGACTGATTTAACTTTAAAATTAGCTTTGTTTTGAGCAAGGTGTTGGACCAGATGACCACCAGAAGTCCCTGACAACCTAAATTTTTCTATGACTTAACTTGCAGTCAGGATAGGCTGATATTGAAAGCTTATTAAAATAACTCCTCTAGAAGTTTTATGAGGGGCTTTTTTTTTTATTTACTATGTGTATTATTCCTATTATGTATGTATTTTGTTGTTTTGCTGTAATTTTTTATTTTTAGTAGCACTGTCTTCACTTTTTTTCAGTTTGCAACTATAAAATATAGTGTAAAAGTTTTTCATTTTTCTAATATATAGTATGTAGAGATTTCTGTATTTAGATATACATCAGCTCAGTTTTAAACATATCTAGAGAAATCATGCCCTCCTTCAAGGTCACACATTCAGGGTTAGTCCCAAATTGTCCTCTGTTTCATAAATATGATTGCCATGTAGCCCTGTAGGAGTTTATGTTAGCTGCATAGAATGCTCTTAGTATTTTTCTTTTATCATTGTAAGGCAGGCTTGTCTCTTAGGTAGGCACTGATCTAGGAAAATATAAATGTTTTCACAACCCATTTATGAAATCAGCTAAGGAGATGATTCCTGGGAGAAATGGGAAAATTAAATCTTTCTAATGATTTCTCAAGAAAGGGAATTAAAAGCTATTAATTCTCTAGTGAATAACAAGAATTCCCAACCATGTTTCAGATCCTCTCTTAATCACATGGCCATGAGGAAAATAGTTAAGCTTAAAAGAAAACGAGGAAATAAACCAAATACACTTGAAAACATTGATGTGCCACTATGTAGATTTTCAATTCAGTCCATTACATGAAATAATTCATTACAGTCCACTTTCTCTGATGTACAAGTACCAAAGTCAATAAACATTTTTCCACATTTTGAAAATAGTCACTGATGTTACATAGCAGCCAGTCATGTTTCTCGAAAAGGTTGGAGTGATTTACAGTCCAACAGAATCTGAAAACCTAAGGAGTCTCAGTAGGCTTTTATTTGAAGAAATCCATAAAACTATAAGGTATATGGTGCATAAGTATCTAAGTCTACCAATCTACCATCAGTAAATATTCATGTCACAGTTGGCAAACAAATGAGAAGTATTTTGTAATGTAAATAATTTAGTTGTTAAGCAAACTACAGATTAATGTAATACAACAATACTAAAGCTTCATTTACCTGTTTTGAAAGGAATAATGTACGACAAGGAGTTCTACAGATCAAACATTCATCTTTTTTGCCTGTAGGTAAAGACACATTTAAAATATACATCAAACTCAATAGATATTGAATACATTTTTAATAGAATTTGGTGCCTAAACCTTTGTTTGGAGCTTGTGGAAGGATTCTGAAGTTTAGACAAGAAATGCAAATAAACATGAATAAAGAATTTGATACCACAACCATTACACAGAGTTGCAAAAGGAAAATTTGTATGAATGTCATCGGGTCTTACTCCTGCAAATAAGCATTCATGTAAATGATTTTATGAATATCATTACTGTCACTGAATGCAGGTGACTTTTCATTCCTTTGATTTAAATAGGACTACTTGCCTGGTTTAATTAAATATATGCGTAAGGGCACTAATGAGTTAGAGTCAAATAGATATAAGACTTTTTAAATCAGGACCCAGTGCTGCTCTCTCAATAAAATACATGAAACCTTAACTTCAAAGAATTAATGATTTCACCTTGTGAATTTTTCCAGTGAAAAATTCATCACATCACTTTTTAAAACTTTATCTTTTTTAAAATGTGTCTTTGATTATTTGCAAACATATTAGCAAATATTTCTAGTGGATGCATGTGACTACAATTTTATAATTGATAAGTTTACTAGCTGCTTCATTTCTAAGGATTCTAAGGATCGATGTTTATAAACATCTTTAAAGAGTAAATACATTTTAAATTCGATATTATCATTATCAAATTCACAGGAAAAAAAACCCATTTAATGTCTCAGGAGGTTTTCTGCCAAACAATATTAACCACAGAAAGGAAAGCTGTTCATGTTCTGGGAGCCTGAAAGTTGTATTTAGAGGCTGCATTTTATGATCTTCTCTCCTTAACAGCAACCCTGTGAAAATTTTTAGTCCAAAGTTTTTAATTCTGAAACACAGATTGATCATTTTCTCTGTGTGCCCTTAAAAAAAAAACAGGGCATTTGGCATTTCCTCAAAGGGAAAAACATTGATATTTGTCTGCTATTTTTTTCTTTTGAACAGCAATTTCCTTATTCCCCTGTCTTTTCCACAGATCTGAGCACATCTCTGGAGTCCCAGAATATGAGTCAGCAGTTGCATACAACACACAGGAGTTTCCAAACATCACCTCCAGTCCTCCCAATACTTCTGAAAATTTTCTAGTGTTTCCATGACAATACTGAGATTTAAAATGTCTTAAGACTATTAGCAAAACATGCCCTAAACAATTCCTATGTTTTGTAAATTGCGCTTTCACTAGTGAAGTCACTAGTGACTTTTCCAAAATGAAACAGAACAGAATGCCATCTTATTGTTTTTTTGTTTTTTTTTACTTTGCAATCGTGGATCATAAGCATCCAGATTCATTTTTTATTAAAACATCCAGTTTTCCGTGTCTCAGGCTTGCTCTCAAAGCCACGTTGCTCCAGCCAGATTCATCTGAAGGCAGACACAGGTGGTTTTTATTATTTGAAGAAAACCAATAGCAAGAATTGAAAAAGTTTATCAATAACATTAGGCTGACAAAAAGAAACGCTCAGGCTTTTTCTTTTTTCCCCGCAGGGAGTCAGAAATGCTAACAGTTAATGTAAACATGTGCACAGCGGCACTGCCCGCCTCGCTGAGGCAGCGGGCCGCGCCTGCA